GGGGGCTCGGTTGCCTCCGGTAAACAGGTCAAAGCTTCGCAGTTTGTTATCGGGGGGTGGATGTGTGTGTAACCCGCTGACCCGGCCGTTCCCAGCGCCCACCCCAGCTCCGAGCTGCGTTAGCCCCGCAGAGTGGGGGTGGGGGGTGGGCTGGGAGGTGCCCTTCGGTGCTGTTCCCAGCAGGAGGGGAGGGGGCAGCCTGGGTACCCTCCCCAGCCCCGCTCACTCGTGCTGGGTGGCCTTGGGGCAGGGGACCGTAATTTCACTTAATCTCAGGGAAGGCAGCCAGGGTGTAACCAGAGGCCAAGAGGTTCACAAAAGGGGCTTGGTTCATTGTCACCCCCTCTAGGGACAGGCTCTGGGACTCCATGTGTCCCTCCAGAAGAGAAAGCCTGAAGTGGAACAGCCTCCCTGCTTACCCAGGGTTGGGTATTTGGGGACAGGCTTTGGGGACCAGGACCGTGCTGTGCTGGGACAGGCTGACAACGGTGGGCCTGCTGCCAGTCCACTGATTGCCCACTTGTGTGCTGAGTTCCCCTGTGCTCAGCAACTGTTGCCTGTGTGAGTACTGAGGGGGTCACAGAGCTTTCTCATGGAGGTGTTTTTTGACCTCATTACACGGGTAGTGCCTTAAAAGAGGGGTTATGGCACAGGGAGGAGAAGAGGACAAAAGCCAGGCAATAGCAGGAGCATCCTTCTGGCTCAGCTCCTCTCGGCTGGCTGCCCTCAGCATGGAAAAAGCCTCTTGTCTGCAGGATGAGCCACTCCACTGCGCTTGTTTGGACGAAGAGGGAGGAAAAAAGGGCTCGTGACTCTTGCAAAGTGATGGGGAGAGGAATGGGGCGCCTGGCTTGAGAGCAGCTTCCTGAGAAAAGGCGACAAGCAGGGTACAAACCAGTTGAGCCATAACAATGAAGAGTAGCCTCTATACCCCCCTGCCAGCCCTGTGACCCCCCAGGCCATGGTGGGGTCAGAGCAGGCTGGGCTATGCCCAACAGGCTGCCAGGGAAGAAAGATGAAACCTGGTGGGTCTGGGGTCAGCAGCCTTGTCCCACCAGAGGATACTCAGTGTCTCAGGGCACCCTTCTGCACTGTCGGAAGGATGTGGCTGCAGGGCTGGGGGTGAGAGGAGCTGGGATCAACCCTTCCCTGCACATCATGCAGTGCTACTGCTCAGGGCAAGCCAGACGGGAGCCAGAGAGGTGGGAGATGAGTTCTGCACTGGTAACACGCCTTCCCTCCTCACAGGCCAGGATGGCTCCTCGGATCTAGCCAGGGAGGCCAGAGCAGCGCCAAAGATCCCTGTCCAAGTGACAGTGGGACTGGGATAGAGGAACTGCTGCGAGGATGTCTGAAGCCAAGACCCTGAGCTCCTCTTGCCTCGTGCTTTCCTTGCTCTCCTTGCACTGGGCTTTGCTCCAGCTGGGCCAGGCTTTTCCCACTCACAGGCCAGGATGGCTCCTCGGATCTAGCCAGGGAGGCCAGAGCAGCGCCAAAGATCCCTGTCCAAGTGACAGTGGGACTGGGATAGAGGAACTGCTGCGAGGATGTCTGAAGCCAAGACCCTGAGCTCCTCTTGCCTCGTGCTTTCCTTGCTCTCCTTGCACTGGGCTTTGCTCCAGCTGGGCCAGGCTTTTCCCAGCACCTC